GCTGGCGTTGCAGGGAGTCGTGCTTCTCAAGGGCCGCCTCGAGCTTCTTGTTGACCCCACGCATCTTCCAGTGGGCTTTGTTGAGGCGAATATGGACAGACTCTGGAGCCTCCTTCGGCGCCGCGAGGGCCGTGGCTGCACGACGATGGGCTTCAGCCTGCTTCCTTCTCCGAGCTTGTCGCATAGGGAGGCCGGGGTCTCGTACTCCTCCGCCGTGAGACTCGCAGTTCCAACGCCCGTGGCATGAGGCTGCTGGCCCCCGCCCTTGGCTGGGCCGCCGTAGCCCTTGCCAAGGGGGGGCCCTCCACCAGCACCTTGGCCTTTGCCGAGGCCCTTGGAATCCCGCGCGGAGGCGCCAGAGTGACCGTTGCCGTAGCCGACTAGCTGCTGGGCCGCGTCGCTTTGCCAGGCCGAGGACTGACCTGTAGGAGGCTCGTAAGGCCCGCAGTGATTGCAGTAGAAGAACCTCGCAGCATTCTTGGCGCAGCCGCATACTTCACATGTCCACCCCTCCTTTTGAGTTGCGTCGGAGACAGCACCAACACCGAACTGAGGACCAGGAACCAAAGGGGGCCCGCCAGAACCAGCGCGCCCAGGTAGACCTGGGAAGCCCTTGCCTTTGCCGCAATACCCCTGCTGGCCCCAGGACATCGCTGGAGAGGAGCTGTTGTTTTGACGCTTGAAGGGCGAACTCCAATGAATGTGAAACCCGAAATGGGGCGAACCAGTCGGAGAAGAAACGTCGGGCGCAAACACCCGGCACTGTCGCGGACTAGCGGTACCCACTAGTTTCGCAAGGAAACACAAAAACCTTGAGCCAAAATGGATACGGACACTCGAGACGTCCTCACAACCTGCTACGATCGCAGGAAAAAGGGGTCAAAACAAGCAAACCGCCTGAGAGATCCCCAAAACCTGGGCGCGACCATTGGAGTGTACCCCCCTTTGGCGCCACACCCCTTTAATGTTCTGAAACCAGCGCCTTGCTCGAGAAATCCTCACAATCTGTTCTGGTCGCAAAAGTGCCTGGGAGGCCAAAAAATACTCGACGCGGAGATCCACATATGTGCATCACATGTGTGGGCATGTCCCGCTGTATGTGCCTGGCCGTGACTCTGGGTGCGAGAGCGAGTCTGACTGAACGACGATTGCGAAGACGACGGCCTCCTCCTTCCTGCACATCCCTACGATCTGGCCGCCTGGGGCGCTGACGCCACCGCCTCGCTCGAGACGCCTTTGCACATGGTCTGAAAGTCCTGGCGTCCCAGCCACCGAACAGGCAAACCGCTCGAGGCATCTCATCAATCTGGGCGCCAACGGATACATGTCCTACCCCCATTGCGGCTCCTCCTCGGGATACTAGAACCCAAACCATCGCCTGACCCGAGACATCCCCACAACTTGTTCTGACAACTCATAGGGCCAAGCCACCAAGCAGACAAACCGCATGAGACAGACCCATAATCTGAGCGCGAGCGGGCAAATGTCCCCCTCCCATGGCGGCGCGTCGGCCCTTCCTCACGGCTGCCGCCGCGGCCTGTGCCTCCTCGTTACACGAGCTGCAGCAGTGTGGGGCTGGCCGTTGGGCCTGCACTCGCTGCCTGTGCGCGGTCGGGCAGGGCCAGCTGCTCTGCTTCGCGGCCAGCTCTTGCATGTGCAGGCCCCCCGTCGAGGATGCTGGGCCTCCGCTCGAGGCATGCGGTGCCACGCCCGTGCCTGTGGCCGCTGTAGAGCTGCAGAAAGGGGGAGAGGAGCCCTGGACCTCCACCCCTCCCACGCCTTGCATGCTGTCCCCCACCACTGCAGCACGTGGTGTGCACGTTGTGGTTTCTTCACCTCGATCGGGTGCGGAGGCGATCCTCGTTTCCTGCGTCGTCCCAGTCGGGCTGAGAATCGTGGAGGCAATGAGGACCTCAGTCGCACTCGGAGGGGCCTATTCCCCCGTCGCGGAGGCCCGCCTCGGGGTACCCTCCTCGTCCAGGAAGCCCTCCTCGCTGCCGCCGCACACGGCGAGCAGACATCGGAGGCCGCTAGCGGCGCTCACGAGCCGAGCCCGTGCCTGCACCAGTCCCCCGGGGGATCCCGCAGCGAAGGCTCGGGGAGTTCAGGCCGCGCACGCGGGCTTCGGTGCCTGCGTGGTGGTTGCTCCTCTTGCCTGTGCCGCGGGGCCCAAGTAGGCCTCTGGTTGAACTAAACGTTCCTAAACGCTCCTCCCCCTCCTCCTCCTCCTCCTCCTCCCCCTCCTCCTCCTCCCCCTCCTCCTCCTCCCCCCCTCCTCCTCCTCCTCCTCCTCCTCCTCCTCCAAATCCTCCCCCTCCTCCTTCCCTCGCACCCACGCGGGCCCCAGGGATGGCCCGACGAGGCCCTCCAAGGCCCCCCCCTTGCTCCAGAGCTCTCTCTGCTCAACCTGGTTGCCCGCACTGTTCCAATCCATTTATCTAGATGTAGATGTACTAGAACCACGCGCGCGCTTCGCGCGCTCGGGTTCTGGCAAGCCCTCGTTGTCTAAAGTGTTCGACATCGGAGGACATGTATCGTGACACGGACCGTGCACCCCAGGAAGCTCCTCCTGCGGCGCCCCCCCGCCCATGCTGGCACACCCATTTGCAGGGTTCGCGTGTGCCACAGGGAAATCCGCCCACATCCCCAGAGACGAGGTTCGCACAGTGGCACGCCCCTCGCGCGGGCCGTGCCCCCCACGTAAGTGCATCTGCGGCACCAGAGGGGAGCTCGATAGCATCGCCCCGCTCACTTCGGCATGCACCTCTCACTCGGATCGTGGCCCGCAAGGAGTTCTACGGACGGCCCCAGAGACAAGGTTCGCATAATCGTGATCGTGGCCCACGGGGCGCGGGAATCTCCACCCACGGCCCCAGGAGGCAGACTTCGCACTGCGCTCCCCACCCCCGGCCGTATGCGGCACACCCCGTCACGCGGACCGTGCCCACGAGGATCACCACCCGAAGGCCCAGAGACAAGGTTCGCACGACGCCCCCCCCGCCCATGTCGGCACACCTGTCACTCGAACCATGCCCCAGACGGAGCTCCACCTATGGCACCAGTGGGCAGCTTCGCATGGCGTCCCCGCGCCCATTTCGGGACATGCCCCGCACGGGGCGTGCCCGGAGGTCCACCTGCGGCCTCAGTGGGCGTATTCGCGCGGCCTTTCACGCGGATCGTGCCCCACAAGGAGTTCAGCGCACCGATGTACGCGTGCCCCGCGGCAGCCATCTTTCCGCATTGCCCCGCGGCGCGCAATAGGAAGAGAGACCCGCGCCCTGCACTACACATGACTGCACAAGGATGGTTCCGTCACAAAACCAATTGCTTGCTGATCTCTTGCCTTCGGCCCGTACCGCTACTGTGCCTGAATTTTGGGCCAGAGGGTTCTTGAATGCATGTAACTCGTGGTCTCGTGGCATGCCCCTCGGGCGCCTCGTGGAGCGAGTTCTGAAGCTTCTTGTGGCCTCATGTTGGCCCTGTCGGGGCCTCTTGGGCCTCTTTTTTAACCCTTGGTGGCCTCTTGGGTCCCTGCTGCGGCCTGGGGGGCCCACTGGTGGCCGAGGGTTCGAAATGTCAGCTGAAATCCCCCTTTGGGACTCCTCTTAGGGCCGTCTTGGGCCGTCTTGGGCGCCTCTTGGACCGTCTTGGGGCTCTCTTGGGCCGTCCTTCGGCCCTCTTGGAGGGCTCTTGGGCCGTCTTGGAGCGATCTGTAGGGCCTCTTCGGCCGTTTGGACGCTGTAAAAACCCAAAGTGCAAATTAGGGTCCCTTGGGGCCCTCTCGGGGCGCATCTTGGAGCCTTCTTGGGACATCTTCGGGGCCTCTTGGCCTGTCTTGAAACAAGTATTCGGGCGTCTTCGGCCCTGTCAGGCCGCTCCGGTCGAATTCGAATGGCCTCCGGAGCAGTCTTGAGCGGCGGCGGAGGGGAGGCCCGAGAGGCCCCAGAAGGGGTCAGTCATGCCGTTGGCCGAAGAGAAGGGAGAATCGTGGAGGGTGACCCCGCCCGGGCCCCGCCCACCAGTGCCAGAAGCAGCACCAGCAGCACCAGCAGCACCACCAACAGCAGCACAAGCACGAGCACCACTCTCGCGAGGCAGCTTGCGCGACCGCTCTTGGGGTCATCTTGGAACCCTCCTGGGGCCATCTTGAGGCCCTCCAGGAGCGTTCAGGATCCTCGAAGACGGCTTGGGAGGGCCCCAAAAAGGCCGCAGGGGCGTCCAAGGGGGCCCAAGAGCATTCAAGCAACGGTCACGCGAGCGCTCTCTCGCGTGACCGCTCTTGGAGACCTCTCGGAAACCTCTTGTGGCCTTACTCGAGCCCCTGGGGGCCCTCTTGGGGCCGCTGTAAGGCAGCGTCGATGGTTTTTGGAGCCGTCTTTGGCCGTGCGAGGGTCCTCCTGGGGCCGCTGTGGGGCCACCTTGGAGGCCTCTGGGGCTCTCCTGGGGGACTCTTGAGGTGGGTTGGGGAGCCTTGGTGGGTTGAGGTGGGTTGGGGGCCTCCTGGGCAGTGTTGGTGCTGTCTTGGAGGTCTCTTGGTAGGGCCTTGGACCGTCGGAAAGCAGTAAAGGTGAGAACGCGACAGTCCTTCAAACCCTCTTAACAATTGATGAACCCGGCTCTTTGGGGGGCCTCTTGGGGCATCTCGGGGGCCTCTTGGACAGTGCGGCGCCAATTCTGGTCAATCTGGGGACGTCATAGTCAGTTTGAACGGTCTCGAAGCGCGTTTTGAAGCAGCCCGGGGCCGGCTTCGGGCGATCTTGGAGGGCCTCCGGCGCGCTGGCAAAGCCCGACAGTTGTGGTCGGGGACCGGCCGGGGGCCCGGACCTGGTGCGCCGTCATATGCATGTATGTCTCTGTGTCCCGTTTCCCGTCAGCTCTCATGGGCAGGGTTTCTGACTTGGCTGGCGGTGATTATACGAGGCGTGGAGACTTGGAGTCTGAGAATTCCGAAATGCTGCCTGTCGGCGAGCGATGGGTGTGCCGTTGATTCTGCTTCGAGCCTCGCGATCTGGCCGTCGCGAAGCCCGACCGAGCCGCCCTGCCTGCCGGCCAGGGTCCGCAGGAGCGCCCGCGCCGCCTCCCCCTGCTCCTGGCCCTCCACCCGGATGCTGTAAGACCTCAGCGGCCCCGATACGCGACACGCAGCCCGCAGCGCGTGGACGCGGAGCTCAAGAGGGAGACCGAGAGTGCAGGAGAGCCTAGAATCGAATCGACAAGTCGAATCGGCGGTCGAAGCGACTCGGATCGGCGGGAATCGGCGGCCGAGTCGGGCAAAAGCTGGATCGGCGGAACTCGGCGGGCCAGCATGCCTCCAACGAGACATCGGAGCCCAGCCCGGAATCCCCAAGCCGAACCGAGCCGGAACCGGAGGCCGTCGCGAAGTCGAATCGAATCGAAGGGGAGGCAGCGAGGCGAGCGCTGGAGCGTGGGCCTGGCGCGAGGAGCGCGCGCCCCAGGCGCGAGGCAGCACGCGCCGAGCCGGCACGCCAAGGCGCGTGCTCCACCCGGACGTGTCTTGCGTGCGGTGCGTGCTGCGCCTCGGGGGGCGCGCGTGCCGGGGGGCAGCGAAGTTTCGGTCGGGCATGCCCCCCCCCCCCCACACGCGGGTTTTGGACGATAAGAAAACAAAGAGTAGCCAAAAATGCTCACAGATGGCCAACAAATACCAGAAACTAAATCGTCCCCAGGCTATTTTTGTTCTACGATCTTTGGATACTCCCCGGGCAGAGGGAGAGGCCCGCCCTACAGCCGAGCGGAGGACACGGCGAGCTCTCTGGCCAGGGGCCCGGTCTGCTGCAGGAGGACCGAGGCGGCGGGGCGGTCCAGGTGGTCCCTCAGCTGAAAGGTCACGTTCCCGATGCCCACGGGAAGCCCCAGGTTCATGCTCACGCTGGATGGGACGCACAAAGACATACTTCAACCCTCGTCAAAGTTAACCTCAAAAGTGTCCTACGTGGCTGAACTGTCTGTGGGGAGGCACTGGGCAGAGTAGGGATGACTGCGAGGAACTTGCATGCGCTGCCCCTCCAATGTCGGTCATCATCGAACTTCCGAGCCGTTCCCGGTCAGACCGCTTTTGCCCTGGCCCCAACACTGGAGGGCGTCTATAGACATTGAAGGGCGCGCCGACATCGCAGGGCCGTGGAAGGTAGTAGTACTATATGTTCTCCTTGGAGGCGCGCGTGCAGCCCAAACATATAGTGTACCCAACCTGTAGTATATATCGTTTCCCGAGCGGCGCGGCCAGAAAGCGCCACGACGCGTATATATATATATATATATATATATATGTATACACATATATATATATATATATATATACTGCAAGGCTTCTCGTTGCGCGCATCGCCCCTGGGAGGGCAACGCACATGCAGTACAAGTATGTTGGGGTGACGCCGAGCTGGAGGCCCAAATTATCGGATCCGCTTGGGGGGGGCAGGGAGGTGCTGGTCGATGACCTAACCTTTCTGCTTTGGGCAGCCCCACGCATGCCCGCGCGCACCAGTACTGCGCACCCCCTCCGGACCTGTGCAGCCGACAAGGTCGGGTTATCCAGGGGGAGGGAGGGAAGGAGGGGGGCGGGCGGGCCCGCTAACCCGGGCTATCGCCCGACGCTAAAAAAACAGTCTCCTGCCCTGCACAAGCACCGCCTCCGGGGTGCTGTCCACCTCCAGAGCCGCGTCGAGGCCAGAGCCTTCGCCCGAAGGCTCTGGCTGCCCCAGAAGACGGCGTCCAGCACCATCGGCGGGACCTGTCAGGTTGAAGCGCAGCCCGGCCAGCATGTCGCCGAGGAGACTGTCCCCTTCGCGCACCTGAGCGACCAGCTCGAGGTCCTGGGAGCTCTGCATGGTCCAGAGCTTTCCCAAAACCACGTCGAGGTCCACGGCCGTCGCCTCCGCATACCAGCCCGTTGGCCCCTGACCCAGCTTCCCCAGGTCCATGGGCGAGGTGCTGACGATTCCGCACGCTAGCCCATTCATGGTCGCGTTGACATGGATGGACGGCAGCTGCCCCGAAACTTCGATCGGCAGCTCCGCGGAGTAGTTCAGCAACGCCCCGACCGTTGTGTTCACCACCCTGATCAGCTCAACGCTGTGCGCAACGAGCGACGGCGAGGACGTCAGGCGGCGCTCTGCACCCGACACGGGCGCAGCGGACTGGGGGCCGCGCATGCGGTAGGGCGGCATCTGCGACAGCACCTGGTTGAGCGCGCAAGTCTGAGGCGCGCTGGGGTCGCCGCGCACGTAGAAGTAGCTGTCCTTGCCGTACCACGTGGTCCGGACCATGCTCTGGAGCTGCGGCATCTTCTCGGTGACATTCCCGGGAACGTACGCCTCCAGGGTCGCGTTGAGAAGCCCCTGGCCAGCGAAACGCGTTGGCTGTATCCTCACTGCGACAAGGGGGTCGGTGGACTGCGGGCAACTCGACTCACAAGAGTATCCGCCATCGTGCCCTCGGCACCTTGTGGGGGTCTCCGGAATGCCTTTTGGCTGTCTGGCAGGGGTTCTGTAGTTCTCATCGGGCGACCAACCCCCACGCCCGAATACCCTGAACATCGCCACCTACTTTTGACGCGAGGCTCCGTTCTGAATCTCAACACGGGTCCCAGAGCCGACAGATCGCATGCTGGAGCACCTGTCATATGCATGCTCGCTACCCCTCATACATTGAGACACGATGCAAATGCAGATTCAATACATCCCTGGCCGTTGCACCACACTTGAAAACGCGACGGCAAATGCGGTTCCCCCCTGGCCTAAGGACCATACGTTGCAACACAATCAACGTGTTTCCTCGATGCGTACCTACTAACCACAGGTTCAGGCAATACCAAAACGCATGTTCATATCCCTGGCCTACAATCACACGCCACATTGCATAAAGGATTGGCCTACTAATCACACGATACAGCACACGCCCAATAGATATTGGTTGACCCCTGGCCTATGAAAAAACATGTTCAACTGCATGCGAAGTTCACGTTCGATGACCCCCCTTGTCTACATGCCGCATTTGAGCCCTGGCATGCGAAATCCATACTCGATACCCTGGCCTACGATCAGAAGTGACAGCACGCGCCGAATGCACACGTCTCAAGTACATGTTCGACGCCCAATCTCGGACGTCGTTCCTCATATTAAGAACCCAACGTTCCCGGTCGGCGCCCCTAGGGCTGAAGGCCAGACAACACAAAGAGATCCCCGGGCCATAGCCATCATCGGAAGAAAACCACAAATAAAACATCTAGAGGACCACGGAGGCCCCAAAAGACCAGACATGCGATGTCTAATACTGTTTTTTCCCAAACGCAGTCCCCGAAGTCCCGACCCTTTCCCCAGGCCTGGCTTGTGACCCCGAGTCGTTTTTGCGGTCCCGCGGCCCAGCGAGGGCTCCCAGAGGCCGAAGACGACGAAAAACCTCCGTCCTGGTTGTCTGAACACTGCATGCCTGGGGAGGCCCCGAGGCCCCCAAAGTCTGCTCGATGAACCTCCAGGATGTCTCCGAGAACCTCCCCCGGAGCCAAGCCGCGCCAGCGCACGCAACGGTACGGCCACGCCCCCCGCTACAGCATCGTGGCGCCGCATCCCAGACTGCCTCGAGAGGTGGCTCTGACGAGCCTCTCGGGGGAGCTCGGCGCAGACCCATCCTGAAAACGAAGACGAAGCCGGGCCGGGACCGGCACGAAATCGGACCAGGATACATCGGGGATCTCTGAGATCCAGCGGTTCTGGAGGATGGAACGTCGGGGATGGACAGAACCCCTTGAGTTAAACGTGGTCCACGTGGTTTAGTGAAAACGACCTCGGGCCCAAACTTGGCGGGCGCAAGCCTGGAAAATGACGGCCGCGGCGCCCTCTCGAAACCGAAAACGGACAATTCAAATCGACGTGTCAGGGTGGGGGTTCTGTCCACCCCCGACAACGGGCGCCGCGGTCATTCCAGAGCGCTCTGGAACGCTCTGAAACGATTTTGGTCCTGGTCATCAGTCCAGCCGACGGCGAGCCCAGCACGTCTGGCAGCGGTTTATCCTGGACGGTGCCCCGCGCAGCTGGGCCACCAAGCGACGGCGAGGCCGCCCGCGACAGCAGTGAGCAGCATGAGTATACAGAGCGGCATGATGCTCCAAGCGTGCTCAGCCTCAGCGACCCACGGCAGGGGCAGGAGCCACGAATGCCCTCGCCGTCCAGCCCACGCGCGCCCCGGGATGCATGGCGTCCTTGCTTGCTTGACTGCCTGGGCCCGCCCGGTGACGCCACGGCACATGAAGCACTGGGGTACTGGCGGGGCCTGCCGCAGGCGGCCGGGGATACGTCGTGCGCCTCCTCTGAGAAGAACACCTGGACGAAGGTCTCCGGCAGGCTCGCACCCACCAGGCCCGCCCCGAGCCTGCACTTGTCTTCTCTTGACCATGGGAGCAGGGCGCCCCGCGGCCGAGGAGGGGAGAGGAGGGAGGGGGAGAGGAGGGATGGGGAGAGGGGGGATGGGGAGAGGGGGGAGGGGAGAGGGGCAAGTTAGGTGCGCTCGCGTCATATCTGACGTCCTACCCCTCCCTCCCATCCCTTACCATGGCGCTGATTTTCTCTATCCGCGGACGCGTGTCGTAGCGGACCTGTGGCTCCGCGCGCGCGTGCGTAGTGGGTGGTGGTGCACGTGCGTGCGTGCGTGCGTGCGTGCGTGCGTGTGTGCGTGGTGGTGGTGGTGGTGGTGGTGGTGGTGGTGGTGGTGGTGGTGGTGGTGGTGGTGGTGGTGGTGGTGGTGGTGGTGGTGGTGGTGGTGCGGCGCGGTGGTGGCGGGCGGATGGGCGCGCGAGAAAAGGCCCGCGCTGGGGCGAGAACGCCATCCTGAACGACGGAGGCCAAACACCGATCCGAAAATGAGGCCCACACTGCAGCGGGAGCACGATTCGGAACGATTCGGGAGCAGAAATGAGGCCGGCGCCTCAACAAGAGCAGCATTTTGGGAAAAAATGACGCCGGCGCCTCAGCGAGTCGTTTCCCGGGATTTCCCGGGAATCCTGTGTGTAAAAAACAGTACGCGGAGGGTGCGCGGCTATCACCCAGACGCCATCAGGGGAAGAGGGAGAGTATTTTCATATTGAGTAATTGTGGAGGGGAGAGGGGGGGAGGGGAGGGAGCATGCGCCCAAGTGGTCTGGTGACCCCAAGCCTGCACGACATCGCAGAGCCCACCATCAGCTCGCGGCCGGCCTCTGCGCCCCCGAGCTCGCCGCGGCCGTCCCAGAGCCGGAGGGACAGGAGGTCGCAGCCCTGTGCATCGTCCTCGGCCGGCGGCTCGGCCGGCGGCTCCGCCGACGGGTCCTCCGTCGCCGCCTGCGCGAGTGCCGCGTCGATGGTCGGAAGCCGGGCGAGGGCTGCTAGAACCGTGGCTGCTACAACGGCCCTCCCGGAAGGCAAAAAACAGCCTCCCGGAAGCAGGCGCGGCACGCGAAACAGTCCACGGGCTTCTTCCCGGAAGGACGAAGACAGCTTCCCAGAGGCCGATTTTAGCAGCCACGGATTTAGCAGCCCTTGCCCGGCTTCCGAGATAGACTGGCCAGATGCGCACGCGTAGGAGCAGGTGCCCTCCTGCACGGAGGGCGATGTTACACCACCGCCGTGCCTGGTCGGGAGGCATCCTGGGCCCCGGCGCGCGCCTGGCCCGGGCCAGAAGGGCCCGTACGCTATCCTTAGGGCACAAGATGGCCCTGGCTTCACACGGAGGTGGTGTACGAATTCCTCCTGCGGACCTCCGCCGAGCAGCCCAGTGGGAAGCCACACGCGTGGCTGTAAGTGAAATGCGTAGTGTGGCTAATCGGGATGCCGAAGGAGCGCAGCGTGACAGAGAGCATCACTTCGAAGGACGCGTGCAGCGGCGCCTCGTTCAGAAAGCGGGAGAGGACGTCACCAAGCGCGGCAATATCCAGGAGCCTTGCGCTGATGGCGGCCGTGAAGGTGTTGTTCCCTCCCTGGATGTACGCAGTGCCGTCGGTAAACTCCACCAGCATAGATGATTTAATCGCCTCGTGGCCCTGCGTCCAGACATCCACATCAATAGTGCCTATCTCCACAGATTGTGCGAAGGCGTCGGGCAACGAAACCCAGCCATGCACTAGTATCGGAATGTGCATTGCATCGCACAGGTCGGAGGCCTCCACCTTCGCAATTCCAAAACTCACTGAGGTTGCAGCTCCCCACAGGTCGATCAATACCCAGACTGAGTAGGCAACAAACGCAAGTGCCAAGCTAAATGACACTATTGCGCATGCCCGAATTGATCGCCTCTTGTGGAAGCACGGCCTACAGCAACAACAGGCAAGACGAGATAATGCCCGAAACCAATGTATGCTTCTACTCGGCCGAAGCTTTGTCAGGCCTCCCGACCCAGCTTCCAGCACCACGTCTGATCCGATCTTCGACTCAGCCACATCCTGGCCCGCAGTGGATGATGCACCTGCGTCCTTCTTCCATTCTGGCTTGACTGAAACCTCCTCTTCTGGCTCAACCTGATTATTCCCAACCTCGTTTGACTCGTCCACCTGTCGGGAGTTGCTAAAGGTGCCCCTGGCCCAAGGTGCCCCCAGCTTTTCGCCCCATTTTGGAGCCCCTGAAGCCCTCTGGGCCTCGTGAAGGGTGCTCTGGCCCAGGGCACTTCTAGCAACACCCGAACCTGGCTCGTCTTGGGCCAAGCACCGGCATGATCATAAACTTGTGGCGCTCCGCGCGGATGTCTTGGATGTGCGCTGGACCCCCCTCCCTGGCGGGCGCCAGGGGCGGCGCCGGAGGTGCCGCCGGGAGGGGCCCAGCGCGGATCCACGAAACCCGCACGGGGCGCCAGGAGTTTACGTTTACGCCTTTATCCCCTCGTCGAGACTATTCTCAACCTCGTCGGAGTCGTCCGCCTGGCTCGTGCTGGGCCAAACACGGGAGCCCGCTCCCTCCGCCGCGGCGGCGCAGACGACAGCGCCGCGAGGGGCGGCCGCGGGCGGGTCGTGCATGCCCTCGGGCGGCGCGCGGCGCCCCTGCCAGCCCGGAGGGCTGTGCTGCCCAGACATCCGACGCCGCGACTTGTTCACGAAATTAACCAGCCTCGAACTGATCCCCATGCCTAAGATTGACACGCCCAGAGGCGATGACAATCTTAGGGATGCACCCTCAGAAGCTGAGGGCATCGCTAAGATCGCCATCGTGATGAGGCGATGCCCAACATAGGAATAGGGATAGGTTCCGGGCTGGTAAGAAATGGTTCCCCAAAGCTCGTCGAGGGCTGAGAAGGTCTCAGATGAAGAACCCGGAGCCGCATGGTAGCCCCGGAGCTCGTTCCAGCTTCCGGCAGGACACCTCGGCGCGACTTGCCTGACCCTACAGCAGGCCCCGAGAGGCCTTTTTCTAATCGTTTCCCAATGCGTATGCCCAGAATTTCCTTCGGAAGCTCCTTCCAGGAGCTTCTCGAGCTCCTTCGAGAGGCCTTTGCGCGCCCTTCTGGTGCCCTGCTATCTGGGTTTGGGACTCTACGAGTGCTTCCCCAGAGGTCGGACGAATTCAGGACAGGGACACAACTGAACAGGGACCAATCGTGGATCTCTGAGGTCTGGCGGCTCTGGAGGATATATCGGGCGCCGCGGCCCTCTCAGAGCGTTCCAGAACGCTCTGGAGCTATCTATCCCTGTCCAATATATCCTTGTGGATGCCATGACAATGGACACTCCAACAATCCGATCATTGAAATAAAGATGTGTTTAAGATGTGTAAAACGTATTCTAAAACGTTTCGAACAGGTGTTTTACAAATTGAACCATGCTTGACACATTCTTTAGACACCTGGAAATTATTTGGCAACATACTTCCTCTTCATTAATCGACTTCCACAAATACTTTGTGTCCCTCAATAGTTTTGGGGGTACCTGTAGTCCGGGGGGGTGCCTATAGTCCGGGGGGGGTACTTGTAGTCCAGGGGGGGGTACCTGTAGTCCGGGGGGGGGTACTGTAGTCCGGGGGGGGGGGTACCTGTAGTCCGGGGGGGGGGCGCGGGGGTACTTGTAGTCTGGTCTGGGGGGGGGGCATGTGGTCATGCCTCAAAGCACGCGTGGTTCCACGCACGCGGGTGTTTAGTACTTACGCGCGCGGGACCTCACGCGCATCGTTGCACACGACACGCCCGCGCGCACGCGCGCATGCACGCACAGACGCCCCGGGGGCTAGGGGGGTACCTGTAGTCCAGGGGGGGGTACCTGGTCCGGGGGGGGGGTACTTGTAGTCCGGGGGGGGGTACCTGTAGTCCAGGGGGGGGTACCTGTAGTCCGGGGGGGGGTACCTGTAGTCTGGGGGAGGGGTACTTGTAGTCCGGGGGGTACCTGTAGTCCGGGGCCCCAAAACTATTGAGGGACACAGAGTATAGCCCCGCTTGGAAAGGTCTGGACTCCCTCCCGGCCAGCGTCGGGGATCTTCTGACCCGGGTCAATCCAGACCCAGGTCAGCGGGAAACCCAAAACCAGCAATGCAGGACAAGTAAACTGCAAAGCAGGTCTTCGCAAACCCGGGTCATCCGATATGCGCGGCCGCCTCGCGGCAACGAGCGGCTCGCTAACCCGGGGTCAGCCAGAGGGGGTCTTCGCAGGATCCTGCAAGATCTGGTGCCCTGGCTGACCCCCGTCTGCACTGACCCCCGTCTCCCAAGCACCGACAAGGACCGGCGTTGCATCCCGGGCCCTCCGGCTGACGGTCCTGGGGCCCGGGCGAGGGCCCCCGGAACGAGTTTTCCTTCCTGGGCTGTTTTGTCGACGGCCCCGGGGCCTGGGCGAGGGCCCAGTGGTTCCTGGCAGCGACTGGGACACTGGTGTTCGCCTCTCTCGTCGTTCCATGTTTCTGTCCCTCGTCCGACGCCGTTTCCGTTTCTGGTTCCGGCGCTGTTTTCGCTTCCGGTTCGGGCTCCGAGGTTCAATCCTGGAGCCGCTCTTGTCCGTTTCGGAGAGCCGTTCCTCCGCTGTTTCGTTCGCGAGATCACAGTTCCTGGAAACGGGCAACCCAAAAAATGCCATGCGGCTTCCAAGAATCGGTGCTGCGAAGGCCCCCCCTTCGGAGGCCGAAGACTGCCAAAAGCCTTCCGTCTTGATTCTGTGAAAGTTTTCTTATTAGGCGTTTCGACATTGGGCGGAAGAGGGGGGGAGGCGGGGGTCTGGCTCCAGACCTCTGCTTAGCGCGACTGTTTGCGACACTGCGCCCCATGGGGGGAGACCCCACCTGCTCGAGACAGGCGCCTAAAACACAGCCAAGAGCTCCTCCATGGAGGGTGGGGAAGAGGGGGCGCGAGGGCTCGCGCCCATCGGCAAAACAAGGAACAAGAAAACGATCCCTTGGTTCGCGACGCGGTGGGGGGTGTCTGGGCGGCGGCGGCGGCTCGCCCGCGGCACGCCCCGCAGCGCCGTCGCCGGCCAACGTGCGAGCCAGGGCTGCCTCGGGGCACGGGCCACTGGCGCGCCCCCGCCATCGGGCGGTCCGCTCGAGCCAGGTGCTTCCGGCTCGCGAGGGGTGCAAGAGGAGAGGCGGAGGGGGGAGAGGACAGGAGGAAGAGGAGCAGGAGAGGGAGGAGGAGGAGGAGGAGGAGGAGGAGGAGGAGGAGGAGGAGGAGGAGGAGCACGAGGAGGACGAGGAGGTGGAGGGAGGAAGAGGAAGGAGGATGAGGAGCAGGGAGGAGGAGGAGGAAGAGGGAGCGGGGGAGGAGGGAGAACGGTTGGAGCAAAGGTACGGGAGAGAGCGCATGGGGGGGCGAGGAAGACGAGGACGAGGGGGGGGAACGAGGCTGAGGGGGAGGAGCAGGGAGAAGAAGAATCGGATCGACACGAGAGCGCCCCAGGGTGAAACGTCTGGGAGAGAAGCAACACCCGCAGCGGCGCGTGTCTGCACGACGCCCAGATCCGAGGAGGCGGAGCTGGCCCGTGTTCTTCGGAGGCCATGTCCTTGACCCCTCCGCCTCCCGAGGAGGAGAAGCGAGAACTTGGACTCGACGATGCCTCCCCGAGAGGCCCCCCGATGGGGAGATTCCACGTCCCCAGAGCAGGCTGGGGCACCAAGGCCCCGATCGGCGACGAATGGGCGAGTGGGGGTCGATGCTCCCTCGCCCTGGACCAGTCCCCCCACTCACGCTGCCTCTGACCCCCCCCTGACCAGACACACGTTTCCCCTCTCCCAGCACTGTGTCCAAAAAGCGAACAGGAACAGCACAAACACACACTTTCGGAAGTCCGCGCTGACCTCCAAAAGTGTATGTCTATGCACTTGTGATTACTGTTAGTGTCACGGGCGCGCTCTACGCCCCCCATCCCTCAACACAAACACGCACGCACGCACGCACGCACGCACCCACACACACACACACACACCCCTCCACACACACACACACACACGCACACACACACACACACTTGTTGGCGTCGCGGACGCGCGCGCCGACGCCACGTAGAAAGGGCCGGAGAATCGCTCGCACCGGCTGCGGAAAGACGCTGGATCCACCCACAGGTGATCGACAGCGACACTCACGGGTGGGCAGCCGTGAGGGGGAAGACGGGGAAAGAAGGGACGGGGATAGACGAAACAATATCACAGTGCCCAACCGGCAAGAGAGGCGCAGCAGGGAAGCGCCAACGGCGGCCAACCGAGGCGGAGGACCCATCCAGCGTGGGAACCAAACGCACGCGCACACACGCACGCACGCACACACTTTTTTCCATCGGCGGCGAAGCAGAGTTGGCTGCACCAGCGAGAAAGCTAGACGGGGGCACTGGAAAGCAAATTGGCCAGCATGCACACACGCACACACACACACACATTCACACACACACACACACACACACGCACACACACACACACACACACACACACGCGCGCGCACGCACGCACAGACACGCATGTGCGCACGCGCGCACGCGCGCACGCGCGCGTTCCTCCGAGGCTGCGGCCTGAGGACTCGCGCGGGTGCAGAGCGGACCAGGCCGCGAGAGCAGGATGGTCAGGCCACAAAGTCTCGCGCACCTCGGCGAGAGCACGCGTTCCAGCGGCGGATCTCTCTCGCTCCACCGCGGGGCGGTAGGCCGGGAGAAGTTCGGGGCGCTGGCTCTTGGGAACGGGGGGGCGTGGACAGCGTGTCGCGCCGAAGCGTGGCGGGCGGGAACCGGCGGCGCGACACGCTGAGCAAAAGCTCGTTCCCGACCGCAGGTCGGCTAAAACGCAGCATGCACAGGGCGACCTCTGGTGCGGGACGTTCCAGGAACACGAGGGCGGGGGGGGGGAGGGCAAATCCAGGCGCGGAAGCTGCTGCTGTCGCACACCGCCAGGCGATCGGGGGAGCCCAGTGGACCCGCGTAGCCGGTTCTGGCGGACACTGGCACGTTTTCCTTCGCTGGCGAGATGACATCACAGTCGCGGTCAACAACTAACACGGGCAAGGTCGCAATACATCGCCAACCTGTGTTGAGGACGGCGCTCGAGAAAGAAAGCGGACCCAAAGGAGGATATCAGAGACGAGCCGTGCACGTGCAATTGC